TGACCATGTCTACATGCCTAAATGCACTGAGTTGCCGCCATGTGATTGGCTGATTAGAAATTAAGTGTTAACGAGCAGTTGGACAGGTGTACCTAATAAATTGACCGGTGAGTGTAGATGGTAACTGTTCATTCTGTGCGGCCCTSAGCTTGCTCCAGGAACCAGATCACAGATGGGTGTGTGTGTGTGTGTGTTGGGGGGGCAGACCCTTAGTCGACGTCAGCATCCAGGAAGAATTTAGTCCAAGAGCTCAAGGCCATGTAGGAGAGGGCCAGATTCCGTAATCAGTTGTTTTGGGAACAGAAGAATCAGGCAGACGATAACAATTTTCCATCTGCTATAATGTTTGCTGGTGCATCTGAAGGTGGTGAATCCAATCAGACAAACGGTGTGGACAATTCCACCGAGCCATACTATCAGCTTCTCAAAGCACAATTCCATCGGGCCAGCAAGTCCAGGGACCACAGCCGGCCCGCGACCCTCAGCAGAACCGCTTGCAGATCGAGTCCAGCTCGCTCAAGGCAAAAGTCTGAGTGCTGAAAGAACGGCCATCCATCAAATTGGTCAGGCAGCCAGGAAACGAAAAGCCACCGACGGTGTTTTGTAGAAACACCAGGAGACCACCAAGACAATCTGTAGAATCCAGTGATCGGAGTCCAAATATATACAGTATATCCAGAACAGAGAAGAACAGAGGTCCCACCTTTGACATGTCCTCCCATGGAAGAAAACTTTGTTCCAAAAAATTTATTAAGAGACCAGCTAATCAAATCCATAAAAATAAAAATATCCATAATTTCTGGTTTCGGATGAAAACGTAGAGAAGGCTCCAGGCAGCAAAGCAGAGAAGATAAGAAAGGGCAGGAGAGAAGGAAAAAGTGTCTTACTCCTCCAAGAGCAGAACAAAAAAATGTATGTATGTATGTTGAAAACTAATGAAGATGATGTGCAATATGTGTTCCTTCAAGGAATGCCAGGTCTTTAATTCTTGTTAAGTATCTGTATGTTTTTACTTTAATTAACAGTAATTCTCCCTTTAGGAGAGCATGCATGCCTACGCAGCAAACGTGTACAGCAGTGTGACCGAAGAGCTGTCAAAGGCCAAAGATCGTAGGTTCATCGCTGTGGAGCAGGAGTTCTTTCGACTGTGGTGGGACACTGTCGCTTCAGATTCCCAGAAGAAACAAGTACGAACTCGTTACAAAAATCATAATCATAACCATGTACTGGTTTTAAATATAATTTTCTAATGCTTAATCCTTAGTTTTTCAATGAAACAAACAGTCTTGTAATCTTTTAAAGCGGTCTTGATCAGAAGTTCTTCAGGCTTTCTTAACTTCTGCTGTTTTCTTAGTCATTTTTAAGCTGAGATTAACTTTTTTTTTTGATGAACATTTTATTTTGTTTGCATGATGTCAGCATGAAAAAACAAACACATAGCAGACAGGTGTCTCAAACTGGCACTGCGTACAAGACAATTGGTTTGTCAACCAGATGTGGGCCAGGTCGGGCAAASATGGTACTGTTTATAAGATGTCAAACCACAACTGGTCTAGTTGTGGTTTGGTTTGTGTGGCCCATCTGTCAAAGCCAAAACTGGTCCAGTTGTAATTTGGCTTATGTGGCCCAAATCTGTCAATTCCACAAATGGCTGAGTTGTGGTTTGGTTTTTGTGGTGCTGGAAAACCACATCGGGGCCTTGAAAGAGCTCAGTCTTTGCAGTATCTGTGTGGGCCAGAACTGGGCCAGATAAATGGTATGTGGAAGCTTACCAATAAAAACACTAAATTGGACCTTTACGTTCTTTGGTAGAAGCTGTTTGTTAATAAAACTGCTGTAATCTCTCTGTGTCTGATAACTTTCCAGGTGCGGCAGCTTCTGAAAGAAGGTCGACTGGAGTTCATCATCGGGGGCCAAGTGATGCACGACGAAGCCGTCACAGACCTGGACGATCAGATCTTGCAGATGACAGGTAACCGCCAATGCTYCTCCCTTTAATCTCCGTTAATATTCAGTTTGCAGCTGGGAGACGGTGCGACTGTTCTCGTTTCAGAGGGTCATGGTTTCCTCTACGAGACGTTCGGGGCACGCCCTCGATTCTCCTGGCATGTGGATCCGTTCGGCGCTTCCGCCACCACGCCGGTCCTGTTTGCCATGGCGGGGTTCGACGCACACCTCATCTCTCGCATCGACTAYGACCTCAAAGACCGCATGCAGGAAAACAAGGTCAAATCTGTCCACTTTAAACGGATCTCCACACGTTGGCCTTAAAATGTACTCAGAATTAGCTCAGAAGCTCATTTCTCTGTAACTGTTTTGTATACAGAAACTGCAGTTTGTATGGCGAGGCTCTTCTTCGTTGAAAGCCCAACAAGAGATCTTCACCCACACCATGGACCAGTTCAGTTACTGCACTCCGTCACACCTGCCGTTCTCCAACAGGTAGTCCACATTTACATTCGTCACACTCATATTTGGCCATTAATTGAGTCAAGCGCAGCCATTAAAATGTACCAAATCCTTTTCTGGCTGATCAATTAAACAAATGTTTCTTCCACCRTAGCTCTGGTTTCTACTGGAACGGAATTGCTTTGTTCCCTGACCCTCCTAAAGATGGAGTCTACCCCAACATGAGCCTYCCCGTCACAAAGGAGACGGTGCAACTCTACGCTAAGACTATGGTTGAGAACATCAAACAGAGGGCTGCGTGGTTCAGGACGAACCATGTTCTCTGGCCTTGGGTCAGTTTACACAAAATATTGATGTTTTTTAGGACTTTTAACTTTTTTTAATCACAATTTCGTTTTTGTCRTGTTTCAGGGTTGTGACAAACAGTTCTACAACTCATCGGTGCAGTTCAGGAACATGGATCCTTTGATGAAGTACATAAACCAGAACAGCAAAGAGTTTGGAGTCACAGTTCAGTACGCCACTCTGAGCGAATACTTCCAATCCGTTCACCAAACAAACCTGACATGGGACGTCCGTGGGAGTGAGGATTTTCTACCGTATTCCTCCGGTAAAACGAGTGTGTTTTAACCCACAAACTGAAGGGCCACATGCACATGCATTTCTGTTTCTAATTTCAAACATGTTGTTTCCTAGAACTGTACCAAGCATGGACAGGGTTTTATGCCTCCAGAAATGTCCTGAAAGGAGTGGCGAGGCGGGCCAGTTCCATGCTGCACGCAGCAGAGACTCTCTTCACTCGATACAGAGTCAGTTTCCCAGACGGACCTGTGGCCAAAGACTGGGCTCTGGACAAACTTCGAGCTTTACGCTGGGCTGTGTCTGAGGTAAGCTTTCTTTATCCACTTGTGCATCTAATGCAAGGGTTATTCAACTGGCGTCCCACAGGCTTTCAGTAACTGTAGCCCCCTGAGTAATTTAGTTAAATAGMTCTGATCTGAAGCATAATGAAGAAAATAATTTTATAGTTTGATATAAAAAAATGCTATATAGCCCAAAAGAAATTTTTAACAAAAGACAGCTTTGGAACGCAACTTTTTTTGTCTTTTTTTTTTTCAGGTCCAGCACCATGATGGCATCACTGGTACCGAGTCTCCCAAAGTGGCAGAAATGTACACGCAGCATCTGACGGAGGCCATGATGGGAGGGGAGGAGCTTCTTGCTGCGCTGTTCCTGTTGCCACATAACCCCGCCTTCTCCAACATCCATGACGGCAGCGTTCACATCAAAGGTGCAAACTAAACCAAATGAGAGTATTTCGAGTTGGGTGATTGGATGTAGAACTTTGGTAACAAAGGGACAAAGTGGTTTTATCAGTGTTTTAGTTTTTGGTTTGAAATTTTCTGGTTCCAGGTGCTCATGAGGGTCTGGAGCAACACGTCATCATTTACAACCCGTTAGCCTGGAACATCACCGCCATCGTTAACGTGACCGTAACATTCCCGAATGCAGCAGTCTACGACGACAACGGACAACATGTACACGCACAGGTAGGCTCTCGTCCTGTTTGGTGTTGTTTAGGCCTYTTTCACACAAAACACATGGAGATAGAGAGGGTGGGACTCAAACACCCCACCTCTGTACGTCCAAGTGAGGTAATAAACAGACACGGTACTGTCGATSTCTGAAAAGGTGGGTTTGGTGTAGCGTCTCCCAACTAATTAATATAATGTGAAGAAGAGCTGACTGGGAYCTTCAGAGACCTCCCAGCCAAGTTGGGAAGTTGTCAAAACTTTAAGTCAATAGCACAGATACAGTTGCGATAAGAGTTGGGTAATTTTAAAACTTAAAAGGACATACTTTGATATGTGCAACATAATAAGGTGCAAGAACCAATCTGTGACTCCTGCTGTTCCCATCAGGACACTGTCAGAGCAGCAGTTTGTTCCACGTTTCTTTAGATTTGCACCGATTAATGTTGAGTAAGACGGCGTCTCTGTCAGTGACGTCTGAACTGCCAGAGGTAGCATCAACCTTTTAGTGGTTTGGTCTTCTGAAAGAGCCTTTAGGTTCGACACGTGATAAGATGAAATGAAACTTATCTCTTCTCTCCATCACAGATCCAGAGGTCKGCTCAGTCTGACACCTACGATCTTTTTATCGTCGTGAACCTGGGCGGCCTTCAGCACAGGAAATACTCGATCCGGTTCTCAGAGACACTGTGCTCCAAAAAGTCTGTGTGCGCACAAACGTACGAAGCGAAAGGAGTTGTGTTTGAGAGACGTCGTGTGAGGAGCTGGATGAAAACAGGAAGGAGACTTCTGCCTGTTCTGAGCGRATGCTACAAACTGATGTTCGATCAGGACACCAACCTCCTGCACAGCATCACTTACCTGTATGTCTCTCAGATTCTCCATTTTTTTATGTAGTTGTGGATCATAAACATTTATTATTTGGTTTCATTGTAACAACTTTTCTGGGATATGCCTCCTCTTCATTGGTAGGCAGGACAAGCAGCGAGTAAGGATGACGCAGGACTTCTGGGAGTATGACGCAAATGGCGACGTCGAAGCAGGYCCCATCTCTGACAACTACATCTTCAGCGCCAACGGCTCAGCTGTTCGGGCCTACAAGGCCGTCAAAATGGAGATTATCACAGGGAAGATCGTTACTGAGGTCCGACAGTACTTCTACAGGTGGGTAGAGTTTGCATTTATCCAGTGTTTGCTCAGCATTAGTTGTGACGCTTGAACGGATGTTTTCTAGAGAGGACAGTGATGAAGACTACGCTTACTCCATCACCACCCGGGTCCCTGAATGCTTCGGGACCGAACCGCAGTGCCACAGGCTGGAGCAGACCTACTCGCTGGGTCCCCTCCGTCTGAACACGGAGGTCATCCTCAGGACCACCTCCTCCCTCAAGAACAACAAGACTCTGCACTCTGATGACAACGGCTACCAAATGATGAAGAGGACATACAGGAAGTTCTCTAAAAATACTTTAGCAAGGGTGGGTTGGGCTCTTTAGTAAATTCTGTTTTTATTTAGCAGGAGAAATGTGCCATTGTTTTTTTAATTACTATGTTTTGCAGAATTACTTCCCCATGGTTCGGGCAGCCTACATCGAGGATGAGCTCAGCCGGCTGGTGCTCCTCAGTGACAGAGCTCATGGTGTGTCCAGTCAAGCCGACGGACAACTAGAGGTACAGAGAAAAGCCACCAAAACACACTTACTGTGATACATCTGGCATTTTAACTGGTGGGGKTTTATTTTTCTCCAGGTCATGCTTCATCGTCGCCTTTGGAACAACTTGGCGTGGAACCTTGGCTACAACCTAACGTTGAATGACAGCTCGGTRGTGAGGCCCACCCTCTGGATGATGCTGGGTTCTGCACGTGAGATCTCCAAGCTGCACCAGAGAGGAGCAGTAGAGCTACAACACAGACCTGTGGTCGTACCGATAGACCAGCCTCGTAAGTGCTTCCAGTTCCAGTTGAAGCCTACATTTGTGTAAGGAAATGGACTGGATTGGTTTAAATCCACTTTTACAGAAGCTTTTCTGTCAGACTGGGTGGTTCATTAACAACAGCTTCTCTCAGTTCATTCATTCTTTTATCGTTTTTGTGATCTTGTATTTCACTCATGTATAAATTTGCTACAGCAGTGGTGGGCATGGTACCGCCAATCAGCTATCAGTGGAACAAATGTTTTTGGTTTAGATACGTTTTTTTTTCCCACTAACTTTGAAACTGTTAGCAGACCAATTAGGTTTTGCCAACTTTAAGTCTGTTCAAACAACTGAAGTGAGCCTGGAATGATTTAATGAGAACTGTGGRGAATCTCCAAGATCTTGGATGTCATCGTGTCATCAACCTAAGGATGCACCAAACGATCGGCCTAAAACCGGTACCGGCTAGCCTGGTAAAAACCAAACACTTGTTCTACACTTTGCTTCRTATACAGGGACTCGCGTTTATTGAGATGTGATTTGCTTGTTGATTAAATCTGATTTACCCAGTCACTAACATTTGGTCGTRCATATGTAGTGCACCAGTTCCACCGCTTAGCGGTGGAACTGGTGCTCCACATATGCACGACCAAATGCACGACCAAATGCATGACTGTCTTAACTGTACGGTTAGTTAAGAAACTAACCAGGCATTGTGTGCGCTGTACACAACCATCCCCTACAGGGAAGAGAGAAGTACTGAGCTGAACGAAGTGGCTGTAAATGAGAGCTGCAGGCTTTGCGAGAAAATTWMATTTCATTTGGAAACCTTGTCAACACTGGCTTCATTCCCTTCCTCCGCTGCCGTATGCTAAACTACAGGCAGACTAAAAAGGAGCAGAAAATCGACGTTGTCATTCACAACTCCTTCTGTTCTCTGATTGGCCGGATTGAAATTCTACTGGAGATTTCCTTGTCTAAGGGAGAAATCCCAGACAGAGCAGTGAAGGGGAAACTAGATTTGAGTAGAACTGTGCAGAAAGGCAAGGGTCAGGCTAGGTATCGGCTGGTTTTCACCTTGATTGGCTTGAAGCAGTGACCGGCAGAACAAAACCTAAAAAAAWCACACTTTTGTTGCCTGGATTTTAAACAGGAAACAACAGCCAACGCTGTTAGCTGCTAATCAGTTAACAGCGGAACAAATTTTTCTGTTTAGCAGATCAGATTTTTCACTAACTTTGAAAACTATTAACAGACCAATTAGCTTTCGCTAAATTAGGTTTAGCCAACTTTAAGTCAGCTAACRGCTAATTAACAAACTAACATCAACAGRTTTGTGTCMGTCTCATCACACTTCAGCTGGAAGGAGACGAAGACATGTGACTCAGACTGAGTGACAATCATCTTAGTGGTCAGCAATTAGCTGTTGGTGTTAGCGTCCTATATATATATTTTTTTACATTTAGCAGTTTAGCGTTAGCAGATTATGAGTTGGTGAAGCTAACTTTTTAGTTAGCTGTGTCTACCACTGTTTGACAGTTTCTGTAAATTAACAAATCTACTCACTGGGTTGTAGGAAAGTCGTGGCAGCAGAAGGAGGCCAGACTTTTTACACCGGTGTCTCCGGTAGTTCTCCCTCCCAACCTCCACCTGCTCAGCCTCTGCATCCCTGGATGGAACTACAGCTCCAAAGACAACGCTCACCTCGGCCACATTCACACAGGTAAATTGTTGTTGTTGTTGTTGTTGTTGTTGTTGTTGTTGTTGTTGTTGTGAAGGTCTATTAAACACAAAGTATTTAGGTAATGTTTCTACTATTCATGTAGACAAAACCCTGCATTCTGAGCCAGATTTTGACCGAGTTCTGTTGAGAATCATGCATCTGTTTGAGGAGGGGGAAGACCCTGAGCTTTCAAAGCCAGTCACTATAAACCTAAAGGTACTGATGCAGAACATCTTGCAACCATAACAAAGTTTTGTTAAAGAAAGGAAAAAAAAGAAAAAAAAAGAAAAGCTCTTAGCTTTTGTTTGTACCCGTTATTTCCCATGTGACCAGGATGTCTTGCGAGGCTTGGGGGAGATGAAAGTGCTGGAGGAGCGATCGCTCACAGGAACCTGGGATATCAGCAGTCTGCAGAGATGGAAGTGGAAAACGGCAGATAACGTGGAAATRAGTAAGACTTTGTTACATAAAACGGAAAAGAAATCTTCTAATGCCCAGTCACAATCATGATAACTAAGACAGTTTATTTTATTTTATTTTAGAGAATGAACCGTATCAGAAAAGTCCAGATGAAGAGTTCACCGTAACCATCTCGCCCAAGGAGATCAGGACCTTCTTTGTTCACTTCAGCTCCAGGAACCTTTAAKCAGGATTGTGTCTCATCTTCAGTGAAGATCGCTGCTGTTTTCTAATAATTCCTCTCATCTGCCACTTTAAACATTATTGCAGCTTTTGCACAGTATGTTGATTTTTGTAACGAGCCACTGATGTGTTGATGATCTTGTGCCTCACACAGAGTAAAGTGATTATTTTTCCCCTCTTTAAACATTGTTTTGTATTCTTTCATCCTAACGTTATAAGTTGTCTGACAATGGGACCACGCTTTATCTTTTGTTGTTTATTTACTTATTTTGAACAATTACTAACCCTGGTTTGTTAAAATTTGTGACCTGTGTCAGCAAAATTTTTGTTGAGATTAGAGTAAAAAAATAATCAAGACACTGTCTAGCAAGAACATTATCCAAATAGTGTATAATCTTTCTAATCCAACTTTAAATCAACATTTTCTAGTAGGTACTGTATGTATTCAGAAATAATCCTTTATCATTATAAATTTCTTTGAAATTGCCATTTATTTCCCCTCCCAGCTGTTGTAGTGACAGAAAGTCCCTTTATATAATATTTGGGCTCATTGTAAAGCTTAGGATTTCACTTTTTTAAACATACAGCAGGTAAAATAAGTATTGAACACGTCACCATTTTTCTCAGTAAATATATTACTAGAGGTGCTAATG